GTAAAAGTACGATTTTTTGTCCCCCATAATCATTAACGTACGGAACACGTAGAGCTGGACTCGACGATAATAATAAACAATTTCAGCAAAGAACGTATTAATGCCAAGATGAAATTCCCGTATATGAATACGTATGGATTGAAATCTCTTCCGAATATTTAAAAAGGTAGAATCAGTGAAAAAATGATGGAAAAAATCGGAGGGAACAGATGACTAAGCAGGCAAGCAAGCAAGAACCGAGGATCTAGGGCATTGTTTGAAGAATCTGTTAATGCAACGGAGTTACAGTTGTATCTGTTTAATTCCTGATTTGGTGGGGGTATTCATCAATCAATCAATCAATCAATCAAATGATCGTGGTGGTTTAAAATTAGGGTACTTTGGTACTCCCAAGCATGATTATCACTTCTGTCAGCTAAAAAAAGCTTGATGGAGACTATATAAGCTGTTGAAGAGTCCTCTCGAGTTTCAATAATGACCATCTCGTCAGTCCATCAGAATATGAATGCTAATCTTGACCACGAAAGTTAGGATCTCTACTGCACAACACTTAGCTACTTTTGGGGTCTACAATGTAGGATTTGAGAGGCCCGTTGCCTTTAGCTCTTCTCCAAAAAAATTCATGAACCTATGTCAATTATATCTTGAACTTTTTAATTTGATCAATATAATTTTAAATCTTTGACAATTTATCAATTCGCTTCATTTGGTTAATTTTGACCGAAAATCACTAATGTGAACATCGATTATCCTACGTGATGCCATCGACGCTAACGTGGTTTATAATTTTTATTATTTTCTCTTTATTTATTTTTATTTTTTATTATTTCATTATGACCGGCAATGCTCAACCTCGCCATCGCTAGGCGAGGTTGGCCTCACCAAGGTTGGCCTAGTGAGGCTTGACCTCACCGGCGGCTAGGCTGGCGAGGCTCACCTTTGCTAGAGGCTGCGAGGTCAAAGGCCACAAGGGCCGCCCTCACCAGATCTAAAGACCCTCGCTAGCCCAGTTGCTAGCGAGATCAAGTCTCGCTCGATTGCTGGCCACAAATGAAAAAACAAAATATAAAAAGGAAAAAAAAAGAGAATAATTAAAAAAATAAAATAAATGTCCACATCAGTAATTTCAAGCTAATATTAGCCGGATTGGCTGAATTAGCATATTGACAAAAGATTTAAGATTAAATTAGCTAAATTAAAATGTTTATGACAACACGATTATAATAAATTTAAGACTTTTTTTATAATTTCTCCTATGAAATGATGGTGTTTGGTTGAGATTCACGGGGAAGTCAGATATGACATTGAGTGGGAAATCTCTTTAGCGTCTCATAATAGCATCATGATGGAGTAGAAAAGAGAGGCGCGCCACACATGCGCACGTCATTGCGGCAAAAGGCCAAGTCCGATTCGTGCAATCGAATTTCCAAACGGCGGGTATTTCCGGGTCTTTTCAGGATTCGATTTACCAAGTCATCATGCGGCGCTTCATCGGCCGATGCGATGCGTGATCGTCCCGCTCGACCCGTCGCGGACACGGAGGTCGAGTAGTCATTGGTTGTCGTGCGCTAGATTCACGAAGGTCGCTCGGTATGCAATGTCGATCATCTTTGGAATGGGGGAGATCGATGGATGGTTCGATGTCGGTGTCACTAATCTTGGTCCAAACCAGAAAGCCACGGGAAAAAGAGGGCACTTTGGATTGATACAACCCAGCCCAGTGAGCCAATATGGTTTGGGCCTAATCGTCCAATGTGTGACCCAAATGCTAGATTGTCGCCTCGCGTGCATTCTAAAATAGTCACCGATGTTTTTGCTTGAATCCTTGGCGTTTGGTTAAGAGGTAATTTGACCAAAGAAGAGAAGCAGAAACTCTCATAGGGGGCTTCTGCCGCTTGTTGTTTGCATTGCAACGACGGGGGGCTCTACAAATACATTTCTTATTTTAATGTGCTAATGCCCGCATGCTCTGCACCCCCAACTCCCTTCAATCTTTTGTCTTCCCACGGAGGAGGAAATACCCTCTGAAAACTTTACATCCCAATGATCTCAAGATCCGATCGAGGATCAAGATAAACCTTTTTAAGAACTTACTTAGGTACATGCATTCTAAAATAATAACTGGCGTTTTTTGCTTGGTGCAAAACCATTTCCATAGAAAGGTTTCCAGGCTATTCATGTTTTTGGACACCATAAAATGAATCGGTCAACGGAAAATATTTTCTATTTACCAAAATCGGCGGGCTAAATCTCTAGAAAATAGATGGTCTGTCTCTCTCTCTCTCTCAACTTGTACGTCATGTTCCGAGAGTTGTTGATCCACACTATTTTAACCATAACTTTTATGGACTGTTTTGCCTTCCTAATATGACCTTAAGTATAATAACAAAAACAAGTACACAGCTAAGTTAAACTTTCATTAGTCTTTCGTTACTTTCATTAGGTCCATAATTAACATGGGAATTTGACCCATTTGAGTTTACAATTTCTAGTAAGGGTCTCTATAAGTGTTCCAATTATACTCGAAGAGAATTATACTTCAAAGTGAGATTAAAACACTCGGAAAACATTTTTCTCAAACTTTTACATTCACTATCGAAAAAAGGGAAATTAATCATCTTCTTTGAAAGCGATTTCGCAATAGACATTTTCTCCTTACACGAAGTATTTTTGCGAAATAAACGCATTCTAAAATGAAAAAGGAACGGTTTGCCCCATACGTATGTGGGACGGCAATTGTCCTATTTTCCTGAGCTACGGGAGTCATTGAAATCCTACCTAGACTCGGTCTATGGTGGACAGAACAATCTCGACTTTTGTATCGGGTGGGTCCATATATCTAACAACCATACACCCTATTCACCCGTACGAATTTCAGGAGGAAGGGACATGTTAACGAATCATCTTTTTCATTTTCTTCTTTCTTTCACCAAAACTATTCACACCCTTTTTGGGATAAATCATTCATTATTAAAAGAAAAAATTTCAAATAAAGACCTCAAATGTCGCCATTTTCTTAAAGGAGAACCCCGGAGTTAACTTTATCTTAAATGAGGGCTTTAAGTGACTAATTTAGTCTAAATTACGACCTGGTGAAGCATATGCATCTCACATACCACTTTCCAAGCCATGATGGGGGCATTTTATTCCACGTGTTTTTTTTTCTTTTTTCTTTTCTTTGTTCATCTTCTTCTTCCTTCTTCATCTCTCCCGTTCATCTCCTTAAAAAAAAAATAGATATTTGATTAGGCTTTACCTGATGCTTGATACGTGAGGCTATGAAGTGAGATGTATTATGGAAGGAACAAGATAAATGGAGAAGGATGTTCGGTGGGTAGAGATTACAAAAGATGAGACTCAATTAGCAGATTTTTCCAGCTCCTCTCAAACCTTTGCTTTCTTAGATCTACGAAAGCAACCAATGAATCGATAGGGACACACTTCAGGCCCTTATTGAAAAACCATTCCACGATCAACACGAGATAACGTGTGGGAGTCGTCCATCTGATTGGTAACCCGGGACTCAAACCTCTTATCTGCTCTTATCCTCAAATCTGATACGAGTGCTTTCACCTTTCAATGGACCTTGATCGAGTGGTGGTGGGCTTGGCTTCTTTAAACCGATGAGAAGTCACAGTTTATCCCCCCCTTTCAGTGACCCATGAAAGGACTGGACTGAAGGGCTTGCTTCGGGGAAAGCCATGAATGATTGTCTGCCAAGGTCGGTTCTTGAAAACGAGGCTAGAGTTTTAGGGGACCTTCCAACTTGTTAGGGTTTGAGGACCACCATGAAGTGATAACACCATCCATACACATTCCTTTTCTTTCTTTTTGGGTGTCTTCATGATCATGAGGACCACTTAGGATTTCTGTTGAATGATATCTGCAAAGTTTTGCATTCTAAGATACTACGACTCGACCGCAGGAGCAACACCTCTAGCTAGATGTAGCTCGTAGATAGATAGATAGATACATGATGGTCCAAGGTGTGCGATGTGACTATGATTGATTTTGATCTTCCCGGCTTCTAAAAATAGGATATGAAGTACACAACACCGGTTTGCTGAAGAGCAGTTAGTTGGTACTCGGTGTTTGTCACGGGTCTAGCTAAATTTTCCTTTCCCATGGCTTCCTTCTAGCAATTTATTGTTTTCGTTCAGACTAATCAAATGGGTCATGGAGAGTTCGGTCGAGACCTTTCAAAACTTGACGCTTGAGATGTGCTCAAGAACTCGCGAATGGACAATAGCTCAGCCACCAATGCACTGACGCTCGAGCATCTATCGATGCATCAATTTCCAAGTGAAGAGAGAAAACCAGGGGCACCTGATGAAAGAACTCGTGCCTGCTCAAAGAAGACAATGTTGTTAAAGTGGTATTGTATATGGTTTCATGGTACATCTTATCGTCAAGTGAACCCGGCTTTTTGATCTGTTGTCTTGTACCAGAACAAACATCCGAAGCTCCAATTCCAATGATATGAAACGAGAGTGAACTTGATTCCTTGGCTCTATGCTTTCCCTCGCCGGTGATGGTGTGTCAGTGATCACCACCTCTCACCACCAGTCCCCTCCCTTCCTGCGCCTGCATTTACAAGACGATGAGATAGATGATGCATGATGAGATTGGATTTTGTCTTGGTCACAGACGTGGAAAACCTGTGAATCATGTATCTGTGGTTCTTCAGAAGAGCCAGAATTATGTGGAAACGTGAAGTCGCTGTTCCCTAATTAGTGTTTATCTCCCAAGTAACCTCAATTGCCACACACAATAGTATGCTTTATAAATAACCTAATTCCTTATAATTGTTGTCATCCGTTTTCCTATACAAAGGAAGAACAAGTAGAACCAGCTAGTGCATGATCTTGAAAATGCGAACTTTATCAGGTGAAACAGAGAGAATCGTACTTGACACAGAATCCAAACACTCTTTTGTTTCATTCTCATTACAACCAAATTATGTTCTTCTCTCTGTTCTTGATGTAACCTGGAATCGTCTGGTGGTTCAAAAGGAGACCTACCTCTTGGGCAATAGTGATTTGACAAGTGGCTCCATCCTATTGCCACCTTCAGCTGTTTAAAGGCCAACACTGCGTAGAATTTTTTGTTGCAAGATCAAAGCAGCTACACTTCTAAACTTGGCCCTTTGCAGCTGAGCCTTTTCTTTTCCTTTCTTTTTTTAATTTCCCTTTCTCTTTTACCATCTCATATGGCATCATATTCACTTAGTAGGAACCCTGGCTCATCCTGGACACCAATCCAGAACAAACAGTTTGAGAGGGCTCTGGCTCTGTATGACAAGGACACGCCGGACCGTTGGCAGAATGTTGCCCGAGCTGTGGAGGGAAAATCGGCCGATGAAGTGAAGAGACACTATGAAGTACTTGTGGAGGATCTCGATCATATTGAGTCAGGTCGCGTTCCGGTTCCGAACTACAAGTCGGGTGGGAACGGTAGCAGCATTCAAGTTAATAGTGCAGGTAAAATAAGCTAGAACCTTATGCTTTTATATGTATTGTACATGCAAATGAAAGGGATTTTACTCATAATAAACCTTTTCAATTTGCATGATACATGAGGGATGCACAAACACATGCTTACAGACCGAGTGCAATCTACTTGCATGAAGGCTTTAAGGGCAACCTTTGTGCAAATTCTGTCTCCAATTTGTCATGGTCAATGTCTCACACCATTTCCAGCAAAAGCTAACACTGATTCCACTCTGTGGATTGTACAGGCTTCTGAGGTATCTTAAGCTGCGGTAAAGAACAGAGTAGCTAATTGCAGGAAGGAGATGAGAGAGACTAGGACTCAGCTATCAAGACCTCTCTCTCTCTCTCTCTCTCTCTCTCTCTCTCTCTCTCTCTCTCTCTCTCTCTCTCTCTCCCTCTCTCCCCTTGTTCTTGTACTGGTACTATGTAAAAGGTTTCGTCTGCAGCAATAGTTCACTCTTTGCATGCCGCGTCCACATTACACCAGCCGTTTGCATATTAAAATGGCGAATCATAATCAAAGGGTGATTATAACGGAGAGACAAAGCATGTGTAGAGCCATTTCTCTTACCATGCTACTTCTACTTGATAATACAGCAACAGAAACTGGAGAAGCAACATATCATCAAAATCTTCGAATCGAGTCTAAAAATAGCAACAAACACAATCTTCTGATTTGAATCTTTGCATCAAGTCAAGTTTGTTCTCTTATAAACAATGCGAACCCTGGAGAGAATTTGACAAGGTGAGAGCAAAGATGTGCTGGTTTTGCCCTGTCTACTTGGGGAAGACATAAGGACAGGGACAAAATTATCTTATAAGGGAGTGGACGCTTGACATGTGCTTCTATTGCTCATCCATAGTCATCTACTTCACGGACTCCATATTAAGCAGGGACTGCTACAAAAAGTCCTTGGCTCAGCATTATAGCACATAGAGCTCCAGCTCTACTACAGCGCTTCACTAACTCAAAGCGCCTCGCTATGAGAATCTAGCTTCGCTAATGCTTGGTTAAGTCTTGAACCTTTGCGCTGAACGTTCGCTTTCTCAGTAGCAAAAGCGCTTCTCTTTGCATTGGAGATTTATGGTGGTGATTTAGTGGCAGAAGGTGGCAAGGTTGCTTTATTATCTATTCCATTAACCCTTAATTCAATTGTTTCAGCTCGAGTGAGGTAACTTGAGGAAGCTCTTGACGGAGCCTCCCTCTTAGATGGGTCACTAGCGCAGGAGAGATAGTTAGCGCTACGTTGGGTACGAAACTACACTATCGAAAAGTAAGAAGAAAGAATAAACTCTCCAATCAAGTAACGGGTCAACCCCACTCTAATGGTAAGGGCAAGGGGTGTTATTCCCTCCTGGACAAGCTCTTCAGCACCATCCTTCATTAAATGGAGTGTCATTCCATCAAGCAACAGAAGAATTAAGCAAAAGATCTCGACTTCATCTTACCTTTTTCAATCCAAAAAGCACTTAAAAAAATTCCTTCAAGAGATTCTCAATGTCCCTCCACAAAGATAATTAAAAGAACCCTGCACCAATAACAGTTCTCGACGAAGAAAAGGCAGTGCATATGGGGGACCCTTCCAAATGAAGAAGATGATCAGACAAGCTTTAATTGGAAATTAAAGGGATCGTGTTCAAGACGATATCGTCTAAGAGAAAAGAAAGAAAGAAAGGAAAAAAATTTAATTCGTACTTCATTGAAGCCAGCTACAAGAAAATGAGAATGGCAATGAAAACCGACATATAACGCGAAACTTCACTAAACTAATCCAAATCAAATCCAAAGAAGTCTTTTTCTAACCTACCACCCATTCATCCGATTAAAAATCATCATGAATTTTAATTAAGAGAGGGAGGCATAAGCATAACTTCAAACACACAAAGCTTTTTCGGATAGCATGATAACTGTTTTGCTGTTAAACTATGTAAAGCTAGTGCTTGTACTCCTCCAGAACAAAAACATGCTACAACTGATGAACAAGCTCTCCTTTGCCTGCTCAGTTGAGCTAACATTGCAATTGCATGACCAAGCAGCTGCACATATCAGGCTTATCTGGTTGTACGATATCCGGAACTCATTTCACGAATTCAAATCCCCAATCAGCATATGCAAAGACACCCCGAGCTAACACAACGTAACATTCACAAAAATCACACAACTCTTAACAGAACCATTTTCTGGTCGGGGTAGAGCCAGTTGAAATCTAAAGCAGTTTTACCACCGAGCGATATTCTTGAAAGTGCATGTGACTCAACTCGGAATTCAGATGGCTGGGAGAGGATCGCGGGACTAATTTGTTCATACTTCAATTAATAGTCTCCTTTAGGACATTTCCCATCGTATGTGAACTAATTTTGTACCAGCAAACATCGAAGCTAGACATGCTTCGTTACAACTTGTGCTTTCCTAAGTTTGATTTACTCCTTGTATGTATAATCGTTCTAAGCAAAAAATCTCTCTTCCCTAGATTTAGATTGCTGTATAGAATGACCGCTCACCGTGAATAAACAGCGTTAATTGCAACTTCAAGATGAATATAAATTCTTTTACTCAAACACCAGAGGTCTTATGTTGACAGATTAATAGCTCTCTTTTCTTTGTTTTGCAAGAATGGTAGTTGACAGCTTAGATTTGGTTGACTTATATTTACCTCGTTCACTGGACAGTCCAACTTGAGCCTGATCTCCAACTCAGATGTAGATGTACAGGAACAACTCCTCATTGACAACCCACATTTCAATGATATCCCTCGAGATCCATTTGTATATTCTTAGAGTATTAACAATTTCTTTAGAGCAACATACAAGTAATTTCCTGTCCTCCACAGATGACAGCTACGCTGTACAAGAGGATGTTCTATATTAATGCCGTGATTAAGACAATACCATGTGCACATCGGTCTATATATAGATAAAAGACAAAAGAAACATAGCTTCTGCTCTTGCAATACTTTCCATCTTCCAATGCCATACACCTCAACACATCCTCTTGAATACTGTGGAAATATAGGGCATTCATCATACATGATGGTTCCTCTCGTACAATCAAACTACCAAAATCGTGAGCTCATTTGAGCCGTAAGAACAATATAAACTCCAGAAAATAGAAAGACCAACAAACTTGGCATGGAAAGAGATCCTAGTGGTGGGAAAAAGCCGTGAGCACACAGAGCGTTTGCCGGTAATGTTCGGTTAACGACTTGGGGTGAGATCCTTATGTCATCAATTGTTAAAGCCAACAATAGACCATTTGAGAGAGAACAGATGCAGACCAAGTCCGGCCTTGATCAGAGGGAAGTTAGGTACCAATCACCAAAATCGAGAGCAACCCTCGCCCTCAATGAGAGAGAACAGGTTCAGACTTCCGACCAAGTCCGGCCTTGATCAGAGAGAAGTTAGGTACCAATCACCAAAATCAAGAGCAACCCTCGCCCTTAATCGGCTAAGTTAGTTCAAGCACTAACGTATAACCTACTTACAGTTTGAGGAAGACAATATCCCGAAGCAGCTATGTTTCATCCTTCACAAGAGATCCAAGTATTTTCCTCTAGCAAGCCAATCCCATGCGCCCAGTTAGGTTTAGAATGCCATAGATGATTGTTCTCCACAGCTATGAATTAATCCCATGAATCCCAATATGTCATGATAACCAGAAAAATATATAATTCCATCCGCCCCAAGCATTAGATCATGCCACGATTTTTAATAAAAAAGATCCAAATCCCAGAGGCTGAAGGTTTCTAAAAGTGATTAGATACATTGATATAAGTACAAGAACAAGTTCCTCAGTACCACAACATCAAACTCCAGGGGAAAACACTCAAGATTCCAAACTGTTCAGACACCCAGAGCAAAAGAAACAAAAAAAGCCGGCTAGTGACTTTTGAGCCTAAACAACACATACACAAACCGGATAAATGAGACTCTCGACGCAGTAAAGACAGAAGTCTAGACACTTTTCTAGCTAACCCTTCAATGGTATCCTCGCATAAATTAGGAAACCGCTAACCGATATGTTTTTAGCAGTTATAGCTTTAACTGCACCGGATACTTGTGAATGCAATCTTCCCAGGGACTATTGGGTGAAGGGGTCACGTTCCGGAGTGCCTGCCACACTGCACTATTACATTTGAAACCACTTCCAAAAGCAATTTGCCAAACACGGTTTCCCCTTCGCATCCTCCCCTTGGCCTCCGTGTAAGCCAACTCGTACCAGATCGAGCTCGACGAAGTGTTACCGAACCGGTGTAAGGTCATTCTAGAAGCTTCGACGTGAATCGGAAGGAGCTGCAGATTCTTCTCCAGCTCATCAATCACAGCCCTCCCACCAGCATGGATACAGAAATGATCAAAAGCGAGCTTAAAATCTGGAATGTAAGGCTTGACTTTAGCATTGAAGAACTTCTTAGCTACCAATGTAGCGAAAAACAGGAGTTGCTCACTGATCGGCAAAACAAGAGGACCCAATGTAGTGATGTTAGTCTTAAGTGCCCCGCCGGCAATCGCCATCAGATCCTTTGATAGCGAAACTCCCGTTTTGCCCGCATCATCCTGCTCCTGATATACACACCTAAACGCCTTATCATCGGCCCCACGATGTGTCCGAACCACATGGACAAGCTTGTACTTAGCCCTCCTCCTATCAGATGACTTGTTGGACAACAAAACCGCAGCTCCCCCGACTCTAAACAAGCAATTCGGAATCAACATCGACTTTTTGTTCCCAAAATACCAATTTTGTGTAATATTCTCAGTGCTCACAACCACAGCACAAGTGTTCCTATGAACTTGTAACATGTCCTTAGCAAGATCAACAGCTATCACACCGGCACTACACCCCATCCCCCCCAAATTGAAGCTCTTGATATTACCCCTCAGCTTGTACTTATTGACAATCATAGCAGACAGCGAAGGTGTGGGATTAAACAAGCTACAGTTCACGACAAGAATCCCGATGTCCTTGGGCTTAATACTAGTATTAGCAAACAGATTATCCAGAGCACCATACATCACCTGCTCTGCTTCTTCCCTTGCGGCTGCCATAGAAGGCCTTGGCGGAATGTAGTGCATTGCCTCGGGCGCGTAAGTCTCCTCCCCAAGCCCTGATCTTTCGAGAATCTTCCTCTGGAACTCGAGCGACGACTCGTCGAAATCGCCGGTGAGCTTCGAGTGCTCCATGAACTGATGGTACTTCACTTGCAGATGCTCCGGGGGCTTGTAACAGGAGTAGTCGACCAAGTAGACGGATCTGGGGCGGGTCATAATGTAGACGGTGGATCCGAAAACGAGGAAAGCAGAGCAGATGATGACGCTCACGAGGTTGTACTTGAGGTGGAGCCACAGTTGGTTAATCTCCTCCGGGTTCATCTGCGACGCTTGGACGATGATGACCGCCATTGAAGGCACGAGCAAGAGGGTGAAGAAATGGGTCAGCAGGTAATGATAGCCCAGCTTGACGTACTTCAAGTTCACGCTCTGGAGGAAATCGGGCAGCCTCCGGGACGTGTGGATCTGGACGCCGCCGGCGGAGGCGGAGGATGCGCTGGAGCTCATGGCGGGCGGGGAGTCGTGTTGGGTCGAAGCTTTTGAGGATTCTGAGTCGATTGGGAGCGAAAAGGAAGGATTTTGAAGGAGGGTTTATATAAAAAACCGGCGGACGATGGGAAGGCGTACGGATCTGGGAATCAAACGTTATAAGAGATGTGGGGAAAGAGACGGGAGAGAATGAGTTTTGGTGGTTGTATACAACTACGACAACAACCCCAAGAACGAAGACGGGGGCGATCATCGACCACGTAAGAGCAACCTGGGAGCTCGAGTGCGGGCGTGTGCCTGCGCCTCTGCGTGAGAGAGAGCGAGGTGCAGAGGTTGTCTTCTGGTATATGTTCTTCTCCCTCTCTGCACTCTCTCCCGCCCTCTCCCTCTCTCTCTCTCTAACTCTCTCTCTCTGTTTCGGTTTTCTTGTGCGAATGGGCGATTTGAGACGGGCAGGGGAGGGGAGATAAACTAGGAATAGGAATGCGAATCTCTCTTTATAAATTCCCTTCGACTCGAAAAGAGAGAGAGAGAGAGAGATGTGGAGGGAGGAACGGAGGAGAAAAGACAATGAAGGAAAGAGCAAAATAGTAAAAGGAAACTCTGCTTTCGATGGAAATCGGAAAAAAAACAGGGGAAGGGAAGGTGGGGTTGGAGTCCACGGGAGAGAGGCAGAGAGAGAGGGGGAGCGGAAGCTTCAAAGCCGGATGCTTGCACGCGATTGACTTCTTGGCTTCTTCAATGTCACAAATCTCATCCCCAAGGATTTTCCCAAATTTTTCCGCTCTTTTATTCTTTTTTCCCTCTTTGGGCCAGCATTAGAAAATTGACTGTTCGCAGACGTCAGGCTCCTCCCTCCAATTCGTTCAACGATCCCAGGGGGTCGCGATGGTGGGGGCACGTTCTCCAAAATCCCGGTTCATTACCGTCCCCCATCTTGTGTGGCGCCGCGTGCATTCGGTGGAGGCCCGTTGCTTATACGAATCGAATGTTTTAGTTCTGGTTATTGCCTCGCCCGAATGTTGATTGCCCTATATTTCGATTCATGCCGGGTTAGATGCATCTACTTGGTTTGTAATTAAAAGCGATCCGAATTAAATATGCGCGAGTGACTTTCTAACGATGCCGTTCGGGTGTCAGCATCGCGTGAGAGCGGGACAAACCCTTTTTGATTATCGATTAAGCTTTCAATGATCTCATTCTGTTACCATTTTCAACGATTGGAGTTTGAATAATGCATCAGACTCTAAATATATAAAAATATGTGGTGAGATAATTTATCCTCCATATATCGCCAAGATATTCAGAAAAGGTCTTTCTTTTCGCTTGCTTAATATATATCAAATTTTGTGCATGCGTTATGTGCGTGCGGGGTTTTTTAGATTAGCGCGGACTGTTAAATATTTAGTTAATAAATGTATTCTCCTTTGTAACACCTTTAACGAGATGCTGGAGCGAACCGTTTCGGCTATCTCCCGTTTTTCTCAGCCTCGAGTGTCCTAGAAATGTGCAGTTGTAATCGTAAAGTTGCACAAGTCATCGTTGCCCCTTAGCTATTTTGCTTAGTTGGACTTATTGTTACATGTGAGGGTATGACAGTAATTTAAGGGATGGACCCCAAATTTAAAAGTTGGATATATTTATATATTGACTTTAGCGTATAGTATTCTCTCCCTAACATTCACTAGTCACCATCTAAACAAGCCAATTGCATTGTGCTAAATTTCCAAATTAAGGACTCTAAACTCTTGGGTTTGGAATAAACACACTGTGTCCTCAATTTTATATAACGCACGACTACATAACAATTGTGTTAATCGTTCTACACATCGTATGCATGTGAGAATTTTTATGTTTTTCTCTAAATAGATATTATCGCAAGCAAAGTCGTTTCTTAAGAAGGTCGATTTGGCCCACTTTATGGCTTCGGAACAATGAATTCGTGCACGAGAGCGTTGACTCGACGATCTCAAAAGAACCAAAAAAAAATTGAAATAGGGCGCAAAATCTTGTATGTACATGTATTTGTTAAACAAACAATAAAGGCCACTACACCTTTTTAAAAAAAACTGCTCCATCACGACTAGTGAAGTGGCCAACCTGCAGGCTACTTAATGCATTTATGTAAAAAGGGCGAATTGTTATTTAGATTTAGTAATCTCAAATAGACCCGTCAAATGAGCGGATCGAATAAGATTTGGGCCGAGTCGAAACGAATCCGACTCAAATTGACCTGTTTAACCCATTTCGCTCGATTTTCATGCAGTACAAATCTCAAGACTCATGTCCGGCCCGGCCCGATTCATATTGCTAAAACGCTTTCATATTTAACTCGATATAGAAAAACTAATATTCAAACTGAGGGAAAAACGTGAGATCGAGTGAATGTGAGAAAGACTTGAGAGAGAGTTATAGAAATGAATTGACTCTAAACAAGTTATGAACCAATTTAACAAGTGTTATTTTGAGTTTTATTATTCTAAACTCATTTACGACCCATTTACTGAATATAACCAACTCATATAACAACTCAGCCCATTAAATATGGGTTCAAAAATGGGTCAATAACCATTTTACCAAGTCTAATCTCAAGTAGTGAATGGCATGGTACGAGTGCACAGTCCACGTATGATCAATAATCGAGATTTGCTTGATCTACATACCTAGATTAGGCAAGAAAATTAGACATCAAAGCTGGTTCCTTGCCCTTTCTATCTTCGATGGCGTGTTCTTTTCGATGATATTGGACGTAACATGGCCTAGCTTTCGCATTGACTCTTCATGCATGATGGGCATTGTCGTTAGGTCTAGGACTTCATCTTCACACGAGAAATCGTCCCGAACATCCTTGTCGATTCCGCGTCGTTATCGAAGCTGGAAATTTCTCACGAAGTTGAGGACACATCCTTGTGGATGGTCTTGGAAAATTTTCTTTCTATAAAAGCCATTCGATTGAGTTGCTAATAAACTCCGCAAAATACGCAATTAAGTTTTTGACCAATTAGAAGCGGTGATCAATAGATTATCATCACGCTTCCGAGTGACCCTTTCCTCGAAATTCTAAAACGGAAACTCTGTGTGTACTAAGATAGATATACAAAATTGATTTACTAAACGAGGTGTCTACTTGTTATTGACTATTGAATATAAGCCACTAGTTGAAAGGCCACTTGCAATATGACGAACTGCACATCGATTAGTAAATCAATTTCGTAGACCGGTCTCAGTAAATTTATCGTTGCTCATCCCGAAAACCATTTTCCTTGTAGCTCCACTTTTTCCTCTCATTTTTAATCATACCTCATGTAGTTAATTTTATATAAATCCGTGATTTTCTTTAATGTCCTTATGATCAAGTCACGAGAAGAATAATTGTTTATCAAAGGGGTCTCAAGGTCATTACAAACGATGAAAAATATATTATAATAAAGTTCAAAAAGGTAAAATATAAAAAGAAGGTGTTATGTGGAATAGCTTTTTTTTGTAATTTTATAATCGATTTGATGTATCTCGACGAAGATCATTTGTAATGGGTATTGTCCACGGATATCAATTAGGGGTGAGCAAGATGGATCGCCCAAACTGGGACCGGACCGGATCTGATCGATCGGTTCAGTTTAGTTTTCGGGAATATTGGTCCGGTTCCCAGTTCCTAAAAGTGAAACCTGTTTTCGGGCGGTTCGGTTCCCGGTTCTAGGATGGGAACCGGATCGGACTGGATCAGACTGATAAATATATATTTTTCTAATTTTTTCATATATATAATATTTAATATATATATGAAAAATATTTAATATCGGTCCCATTGAAAAAGATTGTTCAATTTTTTCATATATTATATATATTTTTCCAATTTTTTCCATGGCCTTACAGGATCAAATCAAAACTACAAAGGAAAGAACGGAACAATCGGTTTCGGTTCACAAATAATATTTAATATTAGTCCCATTGGAACCGGATTAGACCATCGGTTCGGTCTGATCCACGGTCCCAATACTAGCCGGTCCAGTCCCCGGTCCTAGAAACTGGAAACCGGTCCTCCTGATCCGATTCCCTGTTCTTGGGTTGGACCGGACCGGATCGGAAACCACTAACCCCTAATATCAATAGAAAAATATTCGATTTTTAAAATATCGATTTTATGTACGAGCTAGGTTTTTTTTTTCTTAGTCGGAGTATTCCCCGAATTAGTTGGTCCATCGGATGTTGCAACATATTCCTATTTAATGCGTGCACTTGATTGTAAAATCCATCTGTAATACCTTTTCTTTCATTCTTAGGCGATGGACACGTGTCGCGCGATGCAAGGACCCGCCGCACGCGCGTCCTCGGTCAACGGTCAACCTGCGTAGGTGCTTCCAGAATCTACGTACGTACGTCGCACAGGGGTTTCGCAGTTAAATTTTCCCAGCCCTACAATCAATCACGGAAAAAATAGGAAAAAGAAAAAAAGGTAAAAGAAAAAGGGTTAACACCACAAAAAATCACAAGCTGATACGCGTGTGATAATTTTACCCGAACTTTTTTTTTGACCACCAAAAACCTCAAACCGGTACACTTGTGACAATTTTACCCTGAATATACAAAAAAAAACCCCAAATTGATATACATGTGACAATTTTACCCTAAACTAAAATTTTAATATTATTTTTTATTTTTTCGATTTTTTATTAATTTTTTTGTTTTTTCTTTTCTTTTCTTTTCTTTTTCTTCATCTTCAACCTCTACGGCTCGCCGGCCCGCCGGCCATCGGCGAGGCTCAACCTGCCGAGCGGCGAGGCGACCCTCGCCCGTCTTTGCGAGGCTCGACCTTGCCGGATCCGCGCGGCGAGGCCTCCCTCGCCCGGCTCAAGGGAGCTACCCTCGACTGCCCGCCTGAGTCGACCCTTGCCGCGTCGACTGCGAGGGTCGTCCTTGCCCGCCCGGGTGAGGCCCGCCCTCGCTCGACTCAGGCGAAGACGTCTTCCACCTCTGGCCGGTCGCCGATTCGGCTACCGGCCAGAGGTTGAAGATGAAGAAAAAAAAAAGAAAACAAAAAAATTAATAAAAATTCGAAAAAATAAAAAATAATATTAAAATTTTAGTTCAGGGTAAAATTGTCACATGTGTACCGGTTTTGGGTTTTCGTAGTATGTTGAGGGTAAAATTGTCACAAGTGTACCGTTTGAGTTTTTGTGGTATGTTTGTGGGTTTTTTTGTGGTAAAAAAAGCTCGGGGTAAAATTGTCACACGCGTACCAGTTTGGGGTTTTTTGTGGTATTAACCCAAAGAAAAAAGAAGAAGATAAGGGCGTGTTTGGTCACGCGACTACGCCGAACCCGCAATTTACCGGTAGGAAAAATGACACAAATAGTCTCTGAACTTTAGTTCAATTCATAATATTATTTTTAAATTTTTAATTTGTTCAATATAGTCCATGTTTATGAATTTTTAATTTTTTCAATATGATCATTAAAATTTTAATTTATTTATAGATCTATTTATTTCACATTCATCGTAGGTTAGGTTGGGCCGTCACGATCGCCGCCCTTGCATTTAAGCAAACGCACCATTCACATGCCGTACGTTCTTAGGATTAGGCGGACTCCACCGTCGCCATATCTTCGTGATTAATTACGTTGGCCTAGGCTCGCATCGTAAAGTTCTTCACGGAACCTTCCCACGCTTAGGCTTCGCATGATAACTTGCCAAAACGTGTTTGATTCTGTTCTTTTGTTCCCAGAATCAGTTTGGGAACAGAAATGCGTTTGTTTAATTTTTTGATTCTGGGCACAATTTTGTCAAAAATTGTTCCTAGAATCAGTTTTGGAGCAGAATCAAGAATAAAAAAAAAGTAGCTTCTTGATTTTGGGAACAATTTTGAGAATCAATTTTTTTTTCTTCTTCCTTTTCTTGGTTTTTAATTTAGCTTCTAATGTCCGGCCCGAGGACCGCCCTCGCCGGATCTAACGAGAATATTTTACCAGCCATGGCCAGCGACCAGGCCATGGCAAAAAAAAAATATAAAAATGTATATTTTTAATAAAAATATTTTACAGGCCATGGCCGACGATCAGGCCATGGCAAAAAAAAAGAAAAAAAATATATTTTTAATAAAAATATTTTAATAAAAAATATATTTTACCATCTATGGTCGGCGACCAGGCCATGGCCAAAAAAAAATAAAAATATATATTTTTAATAAAAATATTTTAATAAAAAATATATTTTACTGGCCATGGCCCAAAAAAATAAAAATTTTATTTTTAATAAAAAATATTATTAATAAAAAAAATATTTTACCTACCATGGCCGGCGACCAGGCCATGACCAAAAAAAATAAAAATGTATATTTTTAATAAAAATATTTTAATAAAAAATATTATTAATAAAAAAATATTTTACCGGTCATGGCCGACGACCAGGCCATGGCCGAACACAAAATAGCGACTTTTGTTGCATTCGTTGGTTGTAGCCGACCTCGACTACTATGTTCCCCTCTTCGTGCCCACGATTCTTATACTCCAAAAGACTCCTTTTTTTTATATTTATTACAAGAAGACTTTAGTATTACTCGGAAAAATACAAATTTTGTGTGACTGTGCGTATGGTAGTTTCGAGGCGGATCTAAAGGACTTTTTTTTTTCTCAAATTGGGCTTCCTATGAAAAATCATTTGCCTAATAAATCTCTTGCGGATTTGCCAAATTCGAAGATATAGCGCCGCATCGCTCTTGGGGATTCGTTCGTCATCACTCTCTTAATCCTAGTCACATTTATTTATCTCTCTCTCTCTCTTTGAATTATTACAAACAACTTTAACACTTTATGCGATCTTTATTTTTTTTTTCATAAATCGATTCATTGTAAGTAATTAAGGACGAAGCTTATAACCATTCGGCTTCAATTGGTTGAATTGTTCATTCAACCGATTTTTTCATTTTATGAAGTATAAACTGAATATACGGGTCGAAAACAGATTGAGAAACCTGTTGGAATAATGCGTATTGTACTGAATATAATTATAGAAGTGACACTATTGAGGTATTCATTTTTTTTCGAATTACAGCGAACTTTAAAAAAAAAATCAAGAATCTAATGTGTCTATCTAAGAGAAATTAAATTAAATTGATTTATTTTTATTTTAAGAGAGATTTCACTTGATGGAATAATAACCCTTGCTATTTCGATTCGGAAGTTTTGTCACGACACTTTTGCACATCTCGCTTCAATTTCGAGTTATTCTTTACTCGTGTCGATTTTCCATTGATTTCTTGACTTCCTTCATATGACATCACAGATTTTGTACAAGTTCGACACACCTAATAGTCTTATATAACTTTATGATACTGGAAAGTCTGGTTCAAAGGAAAAATTGATAATTGACCACTAATTATAACTTACATTTCTTAGAAACCCATTGATCTTGACCTGCTAGTATGAAACGTCCCCAATAATCTATCTTTGGGTTCCCTTTCTTCGGTTTCTTTCTTCAGTATAGAAGACCAAAGATCAAATTAAAAAAATGGATAACGATATAAATGATTTATGAATTTCGGCCCAATGTGCGATATGATTTTTGAACTTTTACTTTGTTCAATGTGGTCTATAAATTTTAGCACCAATGTGCAATATGGTCGCTGGATTATAATATCCCCGAACTCAATCTAGTTATTGAATTATCTATTTTTAGAGATTAAATTGAAAATGTATCAAAAGTTCAGGGATCACATCGAATAAATTTAAAGTTCATAGGTCATATTGAATAAATTATAAATTCAGGAATTGCATTGCGCATTGAATCAAAGTTTATAAACTATTTATATTATTTTCTCTTAAAAAAAAACAGAGGGCAAGAGCAGCGAAGCGTATCTCCCTGCACGGTAGGAGAAAACTCATCGAATGCGAAGGGTAGTTTGGCAAGTCTCTCAATCGTCATAAATGAAGAGAAGCAGTACCAATCGTTATTCGTTACGCCACAAAATAATTGAAAAGGTGCCGCACTATTTCACTCCACATCATGCTATTGCCCCTCATTTTTCTCAATCATGCTTTCGGGAATCCCACCACGGGACAACCTTTCCATCAAATCGCGGCAGAGCTATGCAGGTCCCATATCCAACCGGGGCTTATAAGTGAGATGCGACCTCGCTTTTCGCTAGACAAAAAAAGAGGCGCGACGATCACATTCACATGCAATCCAAGAATTCTTTAGTTTCGTTATAAAAAACAAATTTTTTTTTTTTTTCAAAAGCATCGCATCAAATGAAAAGTCAAGCGCCACGGGTTTCATCGCGACACACCAACTCCACTCGCCACTCGCACTCATTGGAGGAGCAAATTAGAAAAAAATTATTAAAATATTCATAAAGCTCATGATCATTTATTAATTAAGGAGAATGACACGAAGAGTTCCCGAACTCTGATTCAATATGCAATGTGATTCCTGAACTTTTAACCCAACATGTAATATAGTCCCTGGACTTTTAATTTGTTCAATATGGTCCATGGACTTTTGGTACATATTTAATTTAGCCCCTGGACAATATGAAAATGTTCAAGACTACATTGAACAAATTAAAAGTCTAGGGATCAAATTGAATATTAGGCTAAAGTTCAAGGATTACATTGAACAAATTAAAAGTTAATGAACCAAATTGCATATTTGACCAAAGTTTAGGAACTGTTTGTGTCATTATCCCCATTAATTACGTCATTCTAGCCAATTTTGATTGGAAATCGCTGACATCGACGCTGGTCGTCCTATGTGGATGACGTAAATTTTTTTTGTAATTTGTAATTTTTTTCTCATTGTGCCGATGAGAGTCTCTGGTGAGGGCGAGGCCTTTGCGGCCGGACACAGAAAAAAAAAAGAGCCAAAAAAGCAAGAAATTTCAACATTAAAAAAATAAAAAAAAATGCAAAAATTATTCACATCAGTGCCGATCATGCCATGTAGGACAACCGGCGTTTACGTCGGCGATTTCCCGATAATATTGGTTGGGAGGACTCAATTGATAAATTGTCCAAAGGTTGAACACTAAATTGACCAACTCGAAAGATTTAGTAGTGAATTGGCACAAATACAATAAGCTCAAGACCTTTTCAGTAATTTTTTCCGTCGCCGGAGAGACCGGCTCAACACCGCGAACTTTCTTCCTTAGGCTTTTCCAATGCCCCGTCGTTTAATCAAAGAACACGCACGCCCCTCATTCGTTCGGTGTCCGAACTGAAAAACCCGCGCGAGATGGAAATTTCTACGTAGGCCGCCCCGCGCACGAAATGGAGAAATTCGCTTTGAAGCCCGACAAAAGCGTGCGTAGGGTCCCCATAACTCCAAGCAGAGGATGCCATGCCCCGAGGGCTTTGCCGTCCAGCGGACAAGGCCTGACAAAAGGCTAAACGCCTTCACGTGCTCCAGGAAATGGTGTGAATCCGAGGGGAGGTCCTCTATGATCCCGTGGCCTTGTTGGCTTTTTACGTTAGCCTCGATGCGGACGATGCGTTGTGAATCTCGCTCGTGTTGATCGAATCTTCGTTGTTACTAACACGAAAGAAACGAAGAGAATGCGTGCCGCGATGGATTGTTTTTTAGCTTTTCGTAACGTTGTGTAACGAATTATCCGGGGTGATGCGTATAGATGTTAATTCCCAAATCGATCTTATTCTTATCGACATACCTTCGTCAGATGTTTTCGTTTTGAGATTGTTTGTCGATACCTACGATATCATGGAATTGCCTTTTAGTTTGCTTACGCCTATTGCTTCTCTATCTTTCTCTCTCTTTTTTTAAGCAGAAGGAGGAGGGCGACTATTCCTTCCGAGAGTTACCATAAGGGCCTCGTACCCGTTACGGAAGATTCGATTTAATCTGTACCACGAGCCTGTCGCGACAATCCCGCCGGCGTGCGAAAGTTGAAAAGTGTCTCTCAACGAGATAGTAAGTACCCAAGGCGCAAATTGGTCGGCTCGTGGCATGATTTAAATTCGTGATCTCATGGACAACCGGGTTGGGCCTTTACCACATACTGACCCGATGAAGGCCCACGAAAAATTTGGGCTCCGTTGGTTGGATCGGGCCCAATTCAGAAAGCACGTGTCCGAAATTGAACTTTGCCTTCGAGGCACGGAGCAGTCATCCGGTGCGGTGCGGGTGCACATCCAGCTATACTTAGCTCCAGATCTGAAGTTGAACTTTGACCTCCAATCACCATCATCATCAAGGCCGTTCAAACTCGCGAGGCCGAGGGTCGGGTCGGGTCGAGTGGGTCAATGCCGCCTCGGGGTTTGCTGGCAACAGTCCAACCCGGTGCCGACAGGTGGCGAGCTCAAGGGGCGGGCATTTTAGGGGTTTAGTTCCTGTTCTGAAAGCATTGCGCCCTCTGAATTCCACACCCGCCGCGATCAATCGAAGGTACGTCGTCATCGAATCTCGCTGCTTTTCGTCGATCACTTTGCTCGTTTCGTGCTGTGCTGTCGAGGTTACTGTGATTCGTATTCCGACGAGTAGTTTCGGAAGATTCGATGATGGATGGACTAGGTTAAAAGGTGGGGTTGTAGATAGGTGTGGAGGATGCTGTCATTAGTGATGTTCGCGTGTTGGATGAAGCGAATGGGTTCCTTTTTGGTCGGAGATGCATCGAGAAAAGATGCGTACCAGTAAGATTCTCCCTTCTGGTGCGATAGATCATCGAGCAGCTGATGTACGGTGATTGTGCCGGTGAATTGTAGCATAAAACTTTGCACGGGTTTTTAGTCGGTGGCGAAGCATTATGGTTAGGAGTTTATATTTCTTGATGGGAGAAGACGGGGACCAGTTGTTGTGATTTTTCGTTCGCGGGACTTCATGCTGATTTTTGATCGGTGCCTAATTGTTTGGATTGCTGGTCTTTTTACTTTATTGACCACAGTTTGGATTGGTCTTTTGATGAATCTAATTGATGAGGAAAGTTAAGAGGCATGAGAATGCATGTTAGGCAAGTGACTCCCGTGTTCGAAATAGTAATTCGCTCTGTTGTTTCAAGAAACTTATCATGCTTTGAAGCATCTAGTGATGACTGATGGATTAGGCACGAGACATTAAATTTGATGGAGTTGGCTGCGCTAAAGGCGGCATTGCTGGTGCTTTGTAGCGAATAGGCATGCCGTGGAGAGAGAGAGGTAGGAACAAGAGCGTGAGATACCAGATAAATGAACCTTTCTGTATTTTCTTAACATGCCGATTATGTCTGCTTTTAGCATCTAAAGAATCAACCGCCTTTCTCATAGGCTGTTTATGATGTGCAATTGTGCATAACGTTTGTTACAACATTCATATGGGTGGTGGAAGTGTTGCTTAAAATGGTAGTAGCAAGGGAAACCCCATTATTTGTAGGGGAAGTTGAGCGTATGCTGCTGCTGGTTGTGTCTCGAAATAACTGAATGTACACTTCAAAGGCAAAAGAAGCGACAGTTCCTTTAGCGCTCTTGGCTAAGCACAGAAGCCAAGAATAGATAAACTTGGATATGTGGTTGCATGATCTCGTTTCTCTGTCACTCTGTATTCCTGAATTATTGAGTTCATCATAGATAGAACAGAATGGTGCTATGTGATCTGAAGAGTGCAATCGACATATACTCATGCGTGCAAGGCACTTTACACTGATGCCTCACTCTGATCAATGGATCTTAAATTTGTATTAGGATTCCTTTACATATGTTGTGGCATTGTGTGTCATGGTTTATTGCAGCAGTATCCATGGAAGCCCCAAAAGGCCAGCAGGAAAAGCTTTCACCTCCACCTCCACCTCCACCTCTTGCTTCATGCCGTAAAAATAAGAAGGATGATGCCGCTTTCTTGGAGGATTTGAAGGATCACATCGATGAATTCATCAACGCATCCATGAAAGAGCATAAAACTTGTTTCAAGAAGACCATGCAAAAGGTTGTTCCCTCGGTAAATTGTAAAGCAAGCCACTTCTCGAGGTTCTTCATTGTCCGGTCTAATCCATGACTCGATTTATTTATTTTTTGTCTCAGATGTTTGGAATGTCGAAGGTTGTTGCAGAAAGGAGTTCCGCCGCCCAGGAAGTTGAAAGTTCTCTGCCGCTTCGGACAACTGTGGCAGAGTAAATCATCTCTTTGTGGTGCTAGCTCCACTGTATATATGGGCGACTTGTTCTCTTTTTTATGTTTCGGTTCGACGTTCGAAGTTCGAATGAACTTTGTTAGCTCTGGTTTTCGAGTCATATTATGCAGCATGAACTCGGGAAGACACTTTAGAACAGAATCAGCATAGTATCTGATAAAGAGGCGGGGCCCAGCAAGAAAGTTAACAGCAATTGGACTATAGATGTCAAAACCATGCTCAAAGATGTAAACAATTGCTGAAAGCATAAACTCGAAAGAGCTAGCTCTTTGCAATCGTTCGCAATCAAAATAATTGCTACTCACAGAGAAGCAGGGATCTACTCTCATTTTGTGATTCATGAAGCATAGGTGTCGTGCATATATCGTTAGGCACATGCTTATTATTCCTTTTTAATGTAATGCCTTAAGAATTATTGTTTTCTCTTTTTATTGCAACGTTAATTCTGCAGATCTTTCCCAGAGTAGCAGTTGTGCAGATCAAAAAGCGTGTTTCCCAGCAGACAGGCAACTCCTATGTCCTCTGCCCACAAAAATTGCTTGGGAATGGCCACCTTTCCACGACCAGAACGATGTTCCCATTCACTGGTACATAAGTTGGGTTTTGCAATCTCCATTCGCTTCAAACGTAGATTTCTGAGGAATCGGAACAATTTCTTGGCTCAATTTCTTGACTAAGAGCCATTATTATCCGCGCACGATCCACCCAATAGTGAATTAAAAAGATTTTACGGACAAAAATCACGGTAGTAACGTAGATATGAAGGAGAAATTGTTAACCTCGCTCGTAAGAGCCATTTGAAACAGAAGCGAACACTGTGAATTCACGGCAGGGATGGGATCGAAATCAAAATGAATTCAATTTTCAATGATAACTGAAAAATTTCATGTAAACGAGAAGAGGGCCTTCACGGCTCTGCCGGATCAAGTTGCGATCTGAGGTTGCTTTAGAAGTGGAGTCTGGCCACTTTGATCTGGTAAATGGTATGTCAAACTCAGCGAAGATTTGTTAAAGCCCAAAGAAATTAGTGTTTGTTTGTCTGAAGGAAACTTGTTTCCGAGAAATTTCTTTTAGACTTTTCAATGTTTGGATGGCTAAAGATAGAGAGTGCAAACTGATGGAGGTAATAAAACAAAGCTACAAATGCAGACAATGCATACCAACTTTGTCCTTCGAACTTATTCTTCGCAAGGCTAGCTTGCATCACTTCTTCAATCTACGAACCATGGAGGGAGAGAGCTAGAGATTAGACTCGGATCCCATTATGTTCTCCAAGTATTCAATAATACCAAAACAGTTGGCATACAAGAAATGCTAGACCAAATTAATATAGAGAGGATAGGATTTTACTTTCTCCAATTCAATTCTTTTTAAGAAATATTATTCAAGTTTCTAAAGCGTTTTTTAAAATTTTGAAGATCACACATGCTACGTCCTTTTCTTGCCTTGAAGGGAAGGCTCGAGCTTCTAAGCTCCTCATCTGTATCGTGAAAGGAAAAATATAATAGAAAAAAACCAATCAACAAATACGTTGAGAAGATGGAGCATCGTGGATGAAACATAAAATACCACGTCATATGCGTGGACCAGACAAGTAAATGTGCCGTTTGAGCTCGGCGACGATTATGTTCTCATTGATTGGATCCATAAGAACGTTTTTCAAAACCACCATTTTGTGAGGAAAATGAGAATTCAAAAGGAAGGACAACATTTTTCCATACAATGGCTTCACGGGTTTTTAAAGGTGCAAAAATCAAGTAAATGGGACAGTTGGTTAAAAAATTACACAAATATTACTTTTCAAAAAAAATTCACTTTTTAAGAAGCTTTCGAAATTAGCTAGCTAGATGCACTAAAATTACAAGCCAAAACATGATTACATGGCAAAACACCCTCCCACTAAGGCTTAACAATACCGAATGCAGTATCGGTCCCCAATTTTTTTTTAAATCGAAATGTATTTTCAATATAATAAGGTCACGAGCTTTCCGTAGATGCAAAAATCGAGTATATGAGACATCGGACGGAAAATTTATGTCCGGTCAAAGTTCGATTAAATTCGAATAAAAAAAATACACACATTTTTCTAAATTTATTTATGAATGTGGATGCATGGAAAATGACATTAAGGAAGCAAGACAAGACAGAACAATTCATTCTAAAAGTTTAGCAATATTCTTGGATAAAATGTGAACTATCTGTAGTTCTCATGAACATTGAGAGATGTAAATCACCAAAGTGCGCATTACTTGAAGAGGCGCCCGGTAGCGAAATTTAAAGTAGCTAAAGAAATTAGTGTACCAATAGTGTTTTTAATAAAGTCGTATTTTGAATCATGCAATTTCGCTAAATATTCTAACTACAGATTATCTCCATCTTCTTCATATGAACACACATTTTCTCAAGTTCCTCTTTCTTATCATGATAGAATTTGCCAATATTATCGTCCAACCGAAAAACATGTAAATCTTGTATTGAATGTTGTAAAAAACTAGTTATGACGAATGATAGCAAGAGAATTCACTTTCCAACAAGTCCCTTAAAATGTAAATCCGATTTAGAATACATTTTTGCTAGATTAAACTCAAATGAAAATTTGAAAAAACTTGTCGAATGATAAAAAAAACAAGTTGCTAATTGCTAAAGAGAGAGAGTGCAAAATGAAGGAGTTAATGGAACAAGGGAAAATTTCAATTAAGGACCCCAAGTGGGGTCAAATTCTCAAATAAGGACCCAAAGTAAATATTGTGTCAAATAAGGGCCTGAAGTGCATAATCAGTCTCAAATAAGGACCCGAAGTGCCCAAAAAATCTCAAATAAGGACCTGGGTCCCCGGCTGGCCAAAATACCCGCCGGCCGGCGAGAGTTCTGTTTCGTGCAGACAAGAACTTTTTCATTTTTTTATTTTTTATTTTTGTTTTTTTCTTTTCCTTTTCCTTTTCTTTTTTTTCTTCTCTTCCTCCGTCGGCCATAGCCGGGGCCGGCGGAGGTCGCCGGCCTCGAGGCGAGGCCGCCTCGCCGGCGTCGGGCGAGGGCCGCCTCGCCCGGGCCGGGCGAGGTGAGGGCGGCCTCGCCGACGCCGGCGAGGCCGAGCCCTCGTCGGATCCGGCGAGGCTCGACCTCCACGCAAGCGAGGCCGGCCTCGCCCAACGCAGGCGGGCCGAGGCCTCGCCGATCTGCGAGGCTCGACCTCGCCGCACCGCGAGGCCGGGCGAGGGCGACCTCGCCTCGACGCCGGCGGGCTCGACCTCGCCCTGCAACCGGGCGAGGCCGGCCTCGCCCGGCCTGCGAGGCGGCCCTTGTCTGCGCGGCGAGGCCGGCGAGGTGACCTCGCCCGGGCGAGGAGGCCCTCGCCCGACGCCGGCGAGGCGGCCTCGCCCGAGGCCGCCTCCGCCGGCCCGGCTATGGCCGATGGAGGAAGAGAAGACAAAAAAAAGGAAAGGAAAAGAAAAAAAAAAAAGAAAAAAAATGAAAAAGTTACTGTTCTAGGTCTTAACAGATAACTTCTTCTTGCCGGGCGGGTATTTTGGTACCGGGACCCAGTCCTTATTTGAGACTTTTTGGGCACTTCGGGTCCTTATTTGAGACCGATTGGGCACTTCAGCCCTTATTTGACACAATATTCACTTTGGGTCCTTATTTGAGAATTTGACCCCACTTGGGGTCCTTAATTGGAATTTTCCCATGGAACAAAGCAACGAATGCAGAAAATGCCTACCAGAGAACTTTGTCCTTCGAACTTAATCTTTGCAAGGCTAGCTTGCTTCACTTCTTCGATCTACGAAGCATGGAGGGAGAGAGCTAGAGATTAGACTCGGATCCCATTATGTTCTCCAAGCATTCAATAATATGGCGTACAGGAAATGTTAGACCAAACTAATATAGAGAGGATAGTATTTTACCCTCTCCAATTCAATTCCCTTGAAGAAATATTATCCAAGTTCTCTAAAGCGTTTTTTAAAATCTTGAAGACCACACATGCTACGTCCTTTGCTTGGGAAGGCTCGAGCTTCCAAGCTCCTCATCTGTATAATGAGAGGAAAAATACAATAGAAAAAAACCCATCAACAAATATGTTGAGAAGATAGAGCATTGTGGATAACAATAATTTCCATCTTGCTTCACTTCTCTCAACTAACCAAGCAAAATGACAGACTTTGCAAAAGCCTGCTCTGTTTACATGTTAAACAAGAACTAACTTGGATCTTAATGCACTTATAAATAAGCCATCTTACAAACTTCTTGTCAAAGCTACATGTTCAGATACTTCTTTTAGCAGGAAACTTTCAGGTATCAAATTATGTACCGAGCAGTTAGCCAGTTACCTGTACGGAGACTGTCCCTACTTGCTAAAAATAGCGAGACCAGCTGTAACTATGGTCCCAGAGGCAAAAAGAATCAACTTGAATGTTTGCTTTCTTGCTGCATCCTGTAGTGAATCGGTCTTTAATCTTGGTTCAATAACCATCTAGAATAAAGAAGATGGAATCAACTTGAATGTTTGCTTTCTTGCTGCATCCTGTAGTGAATCGGTCTTTAATCTTGGTTCAATAACCATCTAGAATAAAGAAGATGACCATAAAATTATGCAGGTCCTACGTTTACCCAGAAGACATAATCGTATAATAATCCACTGAATATTCTCAAATTCAATTCTCTTTAAGAAATATTATCCAAGTTCTCTAAAGCGTTTTTTAAGTTTTGAAGATGGGCAAGCTCGTCCCACGCCTATGGTTGGTGGCCATTTGAGGAAGAAGCTAGAAGAAAAAGAAAGAAAAGAAAAGGACGGAGAGAAAAAGAGAAAAAAGAATGGAAAAATAAATATAAAATAAAAATTTTAGAAAAATTCAGAAAATTTTAAAAAAATAAAATGATCTAATTCACTTGAGCTTATTAGGTAATCCATTTATTATCCATTTAATACCCATATAAGATTCATTTAAGTTTGTTTTTAAAATTTAAGTCATGATCCACAATCATTAAATATGAGTTAAAATATGATTCTAGACCCATTTTGCCACTTCTAATGAAATCTACAACAAACTTAGCATGAGAATGGTTTAAGATTGCCGTGGACCTCGAAAATCAACCCTGGTAGCTGTACAAAATCAACTCCTTGGCAACCTCTTCATTGTATTAAAAATATGCGCTCTTCAAACGCCACTGCAAAATTCGAAATTCAAATTGCAAAACCAGCCTGATTGAATGTTATCTCATCCAAGTAAATGTTGAAATTCTCATGTAAGCATAAATGAGTGTCAAACCTTAATTGAGCTTCGCACAGCTGACCAGACAAATTAGTGAAGTCAGGCAATAAGTAGATTCTCAAATGGTGAATGGAAAACAACAACCATTAACTATGTATCCCGCAAATTAAGACCTTCCCAAAATGCCTGACAGAATCTCATTAACTAGGGAAAACCCACAAACAAAATCCATCAAACATTAAGTCACCACAAGAAAGTAGACGCACAGCAAGAACCAGACTCACTAGCATTAACTTCATTACTGGAGGCAAGAACCACGGTATTGCCACAACATTACACGAGGAGATAAACACTGGCACAAGTATTTTTTGTTCTTCAGATCTATCTTCCCCACAATGGCGTCGTTTAAAAAGTCATTTATGCTAAATTTCCACGTCGGATCTACGTCAGACGAGTAGTCTACCAGGTGTGTTTCCGACAGACATATTCAACGGAAGCTAACATACCAATTTAGGATTATTTTGTGACACAAAAATTAATTTGAAATAAATGTACTACGAGGTATAGATTTGAGATTTTTTGTGGTATTATCCTTGTTTTTCATTTTCAAATTCTGGAGGAAATTTTTAAGTAAAAGTTGGAAATGCCTGATAAGCAATACCAAACAAGTATCCATTTGAAATTCTCTAGGGAAAATTACCAAAACAGTCCTAAACCTATTGTAATTGTGCCAATTTAGTCATAAACCTTTTTTTTTGCCAATTTAGTCTTAGACCTTTTACGCTTGTGCCAATTCAGTCTATCCGGTAATTTTCCTAAATTCTTTGAGTCAGAAGAAGAGAAAGATGAAAGAAAAAGGAAAAATTATATAGTTCATGCAATTTTAACACAACCTTATCATAATGGGAAAAGTTATCAATGGCGTTCAATGTGTATATATAGAGCAGAGCCACTTCTGTAATTTATTTTTTTACTTGAATATACTAATTAAAAAGTATTATAGATTCGGGCATGTCCCAGTGTTCTCTTTCTTTTTAGTTTTTATGGTGTTTGAAAAGTTAAGGTTCGTATTTTTTCCATTTAATTTAGGAAGCTGTGCTTTGAAGATGTTAACTTTGCCAATGTAACCAAAATTTAATTTTCATATTCCTCGGAACTGACTACAATGTTCTGAGACTTTTGATTCAGAAGATGAAGAAAAAAGCATGGGATAATGTAGCAAGGAGGAAGTTTTTGAGTGAAGTTTTTAAGAGAGGAAAAGGTGGATAGAAAATAAAAAAATAAGTGAAGTTTTCGAGTGGTTATTCAAGGAAATGGTAGAAATTGTGTATGAACTACAATTTTCATGCAATTATCTCAATTATTTACATCCTAACAGCCTCAAAAGAAGAAAGGCAAAAACATAACTACGAAGCTTCCATGACTACAGATAAGCAATTGTTGTACGGTGTGAATTTGCTGGAGAGAATTACATAGTGAGCATGTGTTGGTTGTAATAGACATAAGGAGAGCCTGCTCGATTTCTGCATTGGCATGCCGCTGGATCGTTGAAACTGCATAGTCCATGAACATGGCGTCGCACGGCAAAGTGATCGGTCCATTGCTTGGCAGCCCAAATTCTTCCTCGGCTAATTTGATCAGCTTTCATATGACACAGTTGTTCAGGAACCTCATAGGAAACACAAACCGCTTTCGGTCAATTGAGTAGACGACGAAATGTCCTCTATGAACTAGCACTTCCTCGTCTCCATCAACTCGTGGAAATGTGATCCTTTTCCTTCTCATGGCAGCTACTCTCTGCCATTTTCTCGCAATCTTGACCAAGTGCATTGGGCCGATCCTTTTTGTCTGTATAGGAATGTGGATGGAGAAGAAATAGAGATTGTTTTCCCTAAACCTGAGGGTTTTGAAATGCCAAAGTTGTATTGAGTTGAAGATGGTGGGCTTACTGGGGTCTGTTAAATAGTGGTGCATCAGGAGGACACCGCATTGATGGGAGTCACTTAGAGATGGTGCAGAGCCATGTGAATTGGGAATGCATGAGAATGTTAGGGGTGGTGGCGTTGTCTGTTTCGGTTAGGCCGTCAATTCGTCTCCCGGCAAGCAAAGCTCCACTGTTTGATTTGATTGTAGCAACATGTACTGCAACAAATGATGAAATTGAGTTACAGATTCCTTTTATTCACATGAAATGTTCTTTGCTGAGAAGACAGTTTTGGTGGTTTGTGAGCGAATGACTCGGCAAATTTAGGGCATGTGCAATAAATTACTGCTGGACCCAGGATGTCTAAAGCTCACACCAAACAAATCCTAGAGTATGTGGCTCGTACTTACCGAGTCTGATGGTTGTTCCTAGATCCTGGCATCACTTGATGCAACATCTGAAGGGCTCGGATTATCCAAGCTTTCGCTTCTCATGTGTCGTTGGTCGTCCCATAAAAGCATAATGCAGGGTTTTCAGGTTCTAAAAACGTCAAGGGGATGAGATTTCAGATATACTGATAAAAGAAGCACAGTGAACTTCATAAAAATTTAAGCAACACCTTATATCTTACATGAAGAAAAAGGAAAACAGATCTGTCATTAGACTGTCTGTCCCCTTAATGAATGGTTTGTTTCTTCCTTTCTTTGTTATTCCAATAAGCCTAAACAAGTGTGGATATACACCTTTGCTTGTGGCATTAGTTCAATTACATCAGTTCATACTGCTATTCAGTACGTCTCTTCGGCAACCCGACAGAAGGTAGGAAGACCCGACATATCTCCTATTTATGTGCTTGAATTTCTGAATTTTGTGGGTTTTGCAGAATTGCTTGCCAATGAGACCAAAAGTTTGTGATAAGTTATTCAATTGTCTGTCGATATTGACAATACAAGAACCGGCAGGAATGGACAGTGGACAATTTTTCCTGTGACCTTCAGCAATTTGTGGTTTATGTTGTGATTCATGGAGAGAATGTGGTTAATCAAGTTGACAACCAAACTGATCTGGACCCTACTGTGCAGTTAATCTAGCAAAATAGCAAGAGAATCCTTCTCTTCTGTTATGCAATCTTATACTCATGAGCCCCACAGAACCAAAATCTTAACACTCAAATGAGATTTTTCTCAGCATGACCACATGGGTTTGCTAACCATGTGACTTCACATTGGAAAGAGATACATTGAATGCCAATCCGCTAGCTCTCTCAGTATAAAACTCGGGAAAGGCTTATACTATCTGGGCAACCAGAAATAGCACTCAAATTCAACAAAAAGCAAGTTCGCTCTTCTGTTGAGAATTACTTTGTGCTGAGCATAATGATAAGCACAAAGAAGCTGATTCAAATGGCAAGGAAGTGGCAGAAGATGGCCGCAATTGGAAGGAAACGAATTTCGTTTCATCGGACGAACAGCAAGTTAGCTTCAGCAAATGGAAACGGATCATCCGTTGGCTCAGAAGGGTCGCTTCGTCGTCTACACAACAGATGAGAGGTGCTTCGCGATCCCTCTCTCGTTTCTCGGCAACAACATAGTGAAGGGGCTATTCAGGGTATCGGAAGAAGAGTTTGGGATTCCATGTGATGGTCCAATCATGCTTCCAATTGACGCGCTATCCATGGAGTACATACTTTCATTAATTAGTAGAGGCTTGGCTAAGGACCAAGAGAATGCTTTGCTTATGTCGTTCAACGGACAAAGCTGCTTATCATCCTTAGCTTTCAATCCAGCATTAGAAAACCCAGAACTGCTTGTTTGTAGCTGACAGATACTAACACATACCGTGTAAAGAAAGAGCTCATCATCCATCTTCTAACGTATGATTCAATGAAGCGATACGACAAAATCTATGTATGTGCATTCTAATTCCAAGTATTTCTGTGTAAACATGAAGCCTTATTCTACTCGAAAGCACATTGCAAAAAAGCTCCCATTTGTTCACCCATGATTATCTTAGTGACTGTCAATTTGATTTGAGAAGTGTCAACATCGATGCGGACAATGCGTTCTGAATTGCTCGTATTGATCACAATCACAATCACAAACACGAAAAAAAAAAGATATATCCCGTGTTAAAAGGAAAGTTATTAATCGACATAGTATTCTATGCCCCGTTTGGTTCAGCATTTGGAATGCTCATTTGTGCTCTAAAGTCCCTTGGTCAAATGCAAATGGTGTTTGGCAATTTTTTTTACTCACTTTGGGGAGATGCAATTGCATTTGAAATGCTCCCAAGAGACCTTTGGCCAATGCTCCACCGGAGGTGCTTTGAGAAGTTGCATTTTCGGAATGTAACTTGCACTGTTTATCGACACTGTTCATTTTCCCCAGACCGAAGTCCGGCGACCGTCGCCTGAGGGCTAGCTCGACCCCGGCGACCACCGCCTGGGGGTCGCGCGACCCCGGCGACCGCCGCCTGGGGTCGTTGGACCTCGGGCGTCACCTGGGTGGTGCGACCCAAGCCAAGCGTTGCCTGGGTCGCGCGACCCAGGTGACGCCTGAGGTCCGACAACCCCAGGCGGCGATCGCCGGGGTTGTGCGACCCCAGGCGGTGGTTGCTGGCGACCAGATCTGGCCGTCGGCGGTTGGCCGGCGACCTGATCTAGCCGGCGGTTTAGCTCCACCGGAGCTTTTTTAAAAAAAAAAAACAATTAGCAAAAGTCCTTTAGCCCAAGTTGATTTTAAAAAACACTTACCAAACACTACTTGCATTTCGGAAAACCCCTTTAGCCCAAAGGTATTTGTATTCCCCCAAATGCATTCTCCCAAAGTCGAACCAAACGGGCCCTATATTAAGTTATCCAGGTGATATGCATTGACATTACTTTTTTGGATATATTCACTAGAAGTCCTAAGAGTTGTGATGAAAGTGCATTCGAGTCCTAAAACTTGCAAAAAAATGCAATCAAGTCCTAAAACTTGTCGAATTTGTTCAATCGAGTCCTAAAGTTAACTCTGTCCAATTTGGCTAATGAAAAATGCTGACGTGGCGCTGACTTATTGGCCCGATCAAGCCCACGAAGACTTTTGGGCTCAATTGGTTGGATTCGGGCCCAATTTCAAAAGCTCTTAGCCCGGTAGATATCCGTGCCTGACTTGATGCTCAAGGCGGAGAGCAGTCATCCCCTGCAGGTGCACCCACTTTGCCAGCTCCAGATCTGAAATTGAATCTTGACCTCCATCATCATCAAAGCCGTTCAAACTCATGAGTCCCGTGGTCAAGCGGTCAATGCCCCCCTCGGCGCTTCGCAAATGGTCCAACCCGGTGCCGACACGTGCCGAGCTCACAGGCGGGTGCTTCAGGGGGTATTAATGGCGACGGGAGTATATAAACCCCCGAGTTCGTGTTCCGGAAGCGTTGCGTGATCTGCCTTCTCTTGAATTCGACATTTGCCGTGATCAAATCGAAGGTACGTCGTCATCTAATCTCGCTTTCCGTCGATCACTTTGCATGTCTGATGATTGCGAACGTCCCTGTGAGTTTCATTGGCGTTGTTCGCTGATTTGTGATGTTTGTTTCGTGGTATGTTAGCGAGGTTGCTGTGATTCGTATTCCGAAGAGTAGTCTCGGAAATTTGATGACGGACTAGGTTAAACGGTTGAGTTATAGATAGGTGTGTGCTTTGTGCAGCTGCAATCGCCAGTGTAATTAGTGACATTCGGGGGTTGGATTGAAGCAAATGGGTTTTTATTTTTTTGGTTGGAGATTCATTAGAAAAGATGTATACCTTCCCTTCTGGTCTTAGATCGATGATCAGCTGATGTATGGTGGTTGTGCCGGTGAAATGTGGTTTCACTAAGTGGCACGTGGTGTCTGTAGCTTTGGGCGGGGTTATTCGTTGGTGGCAATCTAATCTGGTTACGAGTTTATATTTCTTGATGGGAGAGGACCGGGACCGGTTATTGCGATTTTCTTTGAGTGGATTTTGGCTGGTGTTTCATCGGTGATTAATTGTTTGGGTCGGTTTATCTTTTTTCCACCACAGTTTGGTTTAGTCTTTGCTAAATCTAATTGATGAGGAAAGTTGAGAGGAATGCATATTAAGGCAAGCGACTCTCATGTTTGAAATGCCAATTCGCTTCATCGTTCGGAATTGTCTGGACAAACTTTTCACATTTTGAAGCTTCTAGTGATAACTGAAGAGTTAGGCATGAGAAACAAGATATGATGGGAGTTGGTTGTGCTAAAGGCGCCATTTCTTGTGCTTTGCTGCCTAGGCATGGTGAGGACAGAGGCATGAACAAAAGCGTGAAAGACAAGATAAATGACCCGTCTTGTTTTTTCTTAACATGCAGATGATATCTGTTTTTAGCATGTAAAGAATTATTTGCGTTAAGCATGGGCTGTTTATGATGTGCATATTGTCTGTTAAGACGTTCATATGGCTGGTGGAAGTATTGCTTAATTTGGTATTAGCAAGGGAAATGCCATTATTTGTATGGAAAGTTGAGGATATGCTGCTGCTGGTTGTATCTCGAAATAACCGAATGTATACTTCAAAGGCATAAGAAGTGACAGTATCCTTTCACCTCTTTGCTAAGCACAGAAGCCAAGAATAGATGAGCTTGAATATATGGTTGCATGATCGTGTTTCTCTGTCACCCTGTATTCCTGACTTATTGAGCTCATCATAGAATAGACTGGTGCTATGTGATCTGAAGAGTGCAATCAATAGGTACTCATGTGCGCAATGCACTTTTCACTGATTCCTTACCCTGATCAATGGATCTGAAATTTTTATCGCAATTTCTTTACATGTGATATGGCATTGTGTGTCATGATTGAATTGCAGCAGAATCCATGGAAACTCCAAAAAGCCAAATGGAGAAGCCTTCACCTCCACCTCTTACTTCATGCCGGAAGAGCAAGAAGGATGATGCCACTTTCTTGGAGGATTTGAAGGACCACATCGATGAATTTATAAATGCATCCATGGAAGAGCATAAAACTTGTTTCAAGAAGACCATGCAAAAGGTTGTTCCCTCAGTAAATCGTAAAGCAATCCACTTCTTGATGTTCTTTATCGTCCAGTCTAATTTATGACTCCATTTGATTTTGCTTGAATCAGATGTTTGGAATGTCAAAGGTTGTTGCGGAGAGGAGTTCTGCCACACAGGAAGTTGAAAGTTCTCTGCCGCTTCGGACAACTGTGGCAGAATAAATCATCTCTCAGTGGTGCTAGCTTAGCGTAGATATGGGTGACTTGTTTTCTTTTTTGTTTTCCGGTTTGACGGTTGAAGTTTTGAATGGATTTTGTTAGCTCTAGTTCATAGGTCATATATTTTGTGAACTTTGTTCTTCATTAAATGATTCCCCAGCTTCTGAGTTGCTAGAATAATTCTCGCTTTTAGATCTTTAGATGGGCAAACAAGTCGGGAGTGAAGAATTGCGCTATGCCGAATTGCCCAATTTTTTATTTTATTTTTTCTGGATGGAAGCGCAAGCACGATATATGTACAGTATAGATGTCTACTGAAAGGGCTGCCTCTTATTTTGGTCGTTCTTCAAGCAACCCAAAAAGGTGGGGGAAAAAGGCGAACGGTTGATCCTAAATGAGTTTTCAACTCAATTATCATGCATGGTAACCGTTGGTAACACTGAGGACCACAGGGCATATGAGGAAGTTTAGAGTTCAAATCAGCTAACAACTGACCCAAGTTAATGACCTTTAGAGCCAAGCTTGATGAGAAAATGAGGGAGAAAACCCCCATGGAAAGAGTTGACCTACTAAACTTGATCATTGGCATGGCAGCTTGCAGGCTTGAGAGGTGAGGTCTTTCATTAGGTCTGTCATTGGCGGGGCTTATTGTCGTGGCTTCGGACGATAGATAGGCTTGTGGTAAGAGTGATTGGTGAGGGAAGGCCTGGCTATTCGACCGTAATTTCGAGAAGCCTAGCCAAGTCTGTCATGAATAACCTGTGGGATCTATGGATGAGTCTGAGCCGAAAACTCGGATGAGTCTGAGCTGAAAACTAGGAAGGAGAGTGACTTACATTCATAATGCATTTAACTTTGGTGGAGAGATCTCTCTTGATGAGTAGCTTGCTTAATTGTTTCAAGAAGTACTCCTCAATTTTTACGAAATTTCTCATATGAACTTAGATTGTACTTCTCTATGCTTGGGAAAGGTGGCTCTCGTTCAACTAGTATTAATGGGAAAGTGAAGTGTGTATGCAAATGAATTCTACAAGCTCATTGAAAATGCTAAGTATGGATGCTTAGACCAATTTGCTAAACTGGATAACGACATGATGTTGATTAGCCCCTATTGAGCATATGATATGACGTATTTATTTAAATGAATGCTCATAGGTTGTTGCGTTGACTTGTAGATCGATTTTAAACTAAGTTTTATTTAGCTATTATAAGTGGCCTCGTGTCAAGCTCATTATTGTAAAATGAATATCGAGTACCCTAATTATACTAACCAGAATATATTTAAAATGAGGTGCATAATTCTCTCAGGCAAATGGGAAATGTTTCTTCAGCAGATCCTTAAAAAAGCATTCATTACACGAGACCTATTTTTTTCCCTTGCAAAATACCCAATTCTTCAGTAAAGCATAGCTTGCCGTCTAAATAGCACATTTGATGTTTTTTTTAGCCAACCGCAATTTGCAATATGATCTGGTACAATTAATCTTAAGGGAAAATGACACAAACGGCATATGAATTTTGGCTTAATGTGCAATATGATCTTTGAGTTTTCAATTTATTCAATGTGATTTCTGAACTGTAGCTCAATATATAATGTGATTCATGTAATTATTCCTGTCTTTATCCTTAATGCTGACTTAACCACACATGCATTGAATTATTAAGTGTAAGGAGTTCGCTTTTTTTAAGGAATCCTTCCTCGAATTGATCTCGTCAATTCAATTCACTGATCTGTCTAAATTCATTCTTATATGTCCTCAAGACCTTCTGTTGATAACATGATTGGCGGGAGGAAGGATGATATGATTGGATGGGCCAAGAACAAGACATGATTGATCGCTCCATTCTCGCCAAACAGGGCAATGTGGCCAATGTCGTACGATACGGTGCTCGAGGCACATGCCATCTCTCGTACGTCGTGAGAAAGTAGGTGAGCTAACCAACCTAACCCAACCTCGCTAGGCAGTTCCATTTTCACTGTTATCTAGCTAATTGTTCCAGTCTTGAGCTAGCCACACCGCATCTTGTCATGATTCTTGTTGCTTAAATCTGTACTTTTCGTGGGATTGACGATGTCTTCGTCCCATATCTGTGACTGCAGCAAGCCAATAATCAAGTGATGTTAGAAATGGGGAACACGTGTAGTGTTTTCATCTTGTCAAAAGGTTTCTGGAGAAAAGGGCATGAAAAGATTGCTCAAATCCGTCAATCCAGCTGCTCACTTTCGAAGTTCTTTGTTTCTAATCATGACCTCAAAAAGTTAGCACCTCGATCTGTCACTTTCTGAAGGCGTACATCGTTGCAGAAGCGATAACAGTAAGGAAACGCATCTGCAGTATAAACCACCCAGAATTCGTGGTTCTTTACCTTAAATTGTTTGGATTGCAGTAATAATCAATCAGAGTTCATGACTCTTCACACAGAATTCCTCGTTCACGATAGCACACGTCATTCTATGAGATGGTGATAATTTTTAACTGATGTACAAGATACTGTGCAGCTTCTGTTTTTCTCACCAAACTGTCAAGCTAAGGATTTGGCAAGGGAATCCCATCAATGAAGAACCAGAAACCAAGAAGTCAATGCCTCCAAAGATTGTGTTTTACCAACTTCAAGCGTCATTATAACCATGATGCACGCTTCACACTCCAATTCTCGCGTGTGGCTCTCACACCTTTTATCCATCTCCCAGCCCCCCTCAAAAGAAATGATGGAAAAAAAGAAAAAGCAAAGGAGATATATGATCTAATAGAGCAAGGCTTGTGACCTGTCTTCCTTGAAGCATCGATTCTTTGGTTTTTTTTTTATTCCAAAATCTTGATACCCATCAAGTGAATCTCGGAGGGCACACTCATATTCATACGGTCATGTACGGTACTCTCTATTTATGCATGGAACTATCTCATAACGTAAGAATATAAAGAAACTTGTATGTACCGTCATACAGGTACTGGTAGAATGATTATAGCTTGGGCAACAATATGACTAATACGTTGAGAATTTATAATTGCGGAATGACAAATACACAGTTGAGTAGAACTCTAGGAGCACGTAACTTGACGATATTCAGACATATAAATCACCGCTTGTGATTATACCTAAAGCTAATACAAGTACTGGTCTTCTTATTATCATATATCTGCTGCTTCTTTGATATATCTCTCTCTCCCAAGAGATCACGCTTCAATGGAGCTTCACATTCTTCATCCTGTGTGACAAGAAACATTGACATGAGTTACGGGACGTCAACTCGTTCGTCCTCACCTTTGTGTTTGGTCAGACTTGAGATGCTCTTTTATCATATGCAGAGGGAATAATAGTGGTAAAACATAGTTTGTATTTTTTATGTTTTTTGACAGACGATAATGCTCATGAGGAGCAGGAAAGAGAGAGAACATGTCGATGATTAATGAGGATCCAAGAAGTACCAAGCCCAACATAAACGATGCATATAATACAAGTCAAAATCATTCTAGAAGGAAAAGCAAAAGCCTGGTAGAGAATTTTGGACCCATGCGTTTTGCTTTTGTAAGTTTGCTCTGCCGGTGAAATCTCCAGCCACTTAAAGCCCCACCCTCTGGTTTCATTTCAGGAAATTCCTCTGGAAACTTCAGAAAAAGAATTGTACAGAGAGAGAGAGAGGAGGGGGGGGGGTGTGTGGTGTGGTGTTTATGTTTATGCAGTGAATATTGTTTCTTAGTCTAGAGTGTCAAAATGCTGTTTCTTAGATGAACATATGAAGATGCTAAAATCGTTTGGCATGTAGTTAAAGAAGTCAAAAGTTGATCTAGCTACTTGACTGACCTTAAGCTGACTTAATTAGTAACCATATGGCTGTATGGAGAGAAAAAGGCATGTGCAAATAGAATAGGCATCTACCTGCTTCATCAAAAATATGTTTAAAGAGGAAATGTAAAAACTATTTCTTTTGTGTTGCTGCCAATTTAATTTAGGTCAACAGTTGGTCATTCTTGTGCTCTACAAGTATATAGTACAAGTATTACCTTTTGTCCTCATCATTACTGTTTCCATGCCCGGTTGTCCTGTAATTAGGAAAGGGGACTTGGCCAGACTCAATATGCTTCACATCCTCCACAAGCAACTCATAATGCCTCTTCACTTCCTCAGCAGTTTTGCCACCCACGGCTTTGGCCACATTGTGCCAACGGTCCGGCGTGTCCTTGTCGTACACCGCCAGCGCCTTCTCGAATGCCTTGTTCTGCTTCGCCGTCCAGGAGCTCGAACCCCTCGACATCGAACTGGACGCCATTTCTCCCCTAACCTGATTGAGAGATTGGAATGACTAGTTTAGATTGTATTGAAAATGCTGGGTTGCTTGAATGGTGTCTGTGATGAAGGGAAGAAAGAAAGATCAAGAGGAGTCGAAGAAAAGAAAAGGGCTATCAGTCGAGTGATGATATGAGCAGAAGAGGTGGCAAATGCCTGCTCTTTATAAGCAGTTGGGAGAGGAGGGGGGGAGAGGTGGTGTGGTGGTGAGGTGGGGTAGAGCCAGTTGGCCTATAAATCTTTGCTAATGTTGTAAGGGAATTTCTAATGATTTGTCTCCTTAGGAACCACAAAATTGAGAGCAACGACAAAGATGAAGGAAAATGATGTATGTAAGGGGATATGGAGAATCAGTATCTCCAATAACTTTTTAAGGTTATTTATTATTATTAAATTGCCTTATTTATTTGTGATAAAGCATGTGGATCTATAAACAAAAAAAATGCAAATCTACTAATTAGCCCATGTCCAAGGATATTATAATTTGTGGGGTGGGGTTTGTATGATCTCTCGAACGATCAATTTACAGTCCTAAAAATGCTCCATTCATGTCTATTTTAGCTTATCTCTCATAAAATGTAGCACCTCGCAATAAACATTTTAAATTTTTTTAATGAACGATCAAATTTGTTCTTTTATGATCTAATGGACACCAATCTTCGCGGAATCTGACCTTGAGATATTTGTAGAAGTGCCCCCTGTGGCTGATCCAGGAAGCAAGTACCCAAGAGATAACCATGCATTGAAAAATAGAGGGAAAAGTAAAAGAGGACAAAACAGATTTCCCAGAGACCAGGGTAAATAACTTTTTCTTCTTCTTTTTCGCAGCTACAAGGGATTTTGTGCAGATTTGTCCCTCTTGTTTTCACTCACTGAATTATTATACAAATTGCATCATTGCATGGTCACGAAGGTGGGCCATGCAAGCTCAAACCTACAATCAGCGAAACACTTTCACGTGCGCACCACAATCCATATCCCTTGCTGCTGCAAGAAAACTTTTATGGAGTTCAGTTTCGAAAAAAGCTGCCTCTGATTTGTGCCCTTCTGATCTTCATGTTGCAGGAGGAGAGATCTCTTGCGCCTTACATATTCACTGCCCTGAACAACTTTCCAAGCAATTTCTAGCTGGCTATCTGAGTCCGTACCAACCATCACTAGCTTGCTAATGATCTTATTACACCCTTTTGTCCTTCCCCGTGACAAGTTCAACATTTGTCTCCCGCTTCTCTAGCGGTATTCGGCACTTTCTTGAGTTTTTGTTTTCGAGATTCTGCAGTGAAAAGTTCCGTTAAAACAGACCTCAGAGTCTAGACCCTGCATTATTTTCATGAAAAGTCTCTTAAGCACTTGGGGTCCTTCATTTTCGAACAAAAGGTTACGTCTCGATACTTGGGAAGTGTTTTTTCTTGATGTCCAAAGAGAGCCTTTTTTTTTTTGGTCTCTGGTCGGTAACAGGGTAGATAGGATTATAGATTAGATTAGAACATTCGACAAATTCTGTCTTAGCCTCAGGAGATCAGGGAACAGAGAACAAGATTTATCAGTCCACCTGTCAAATCAGTGGCATAAACCCAGCACGATATTCGCATGATAAATATAAGGACAAAAGCCATAAAAAATCCTAAATTATGTCACCGCGACATAAAAAATCTCAAACTTGTACATGTATGGCACATTTACCCTCTATCAAAATTCTGTGAATGAGAACCGTTAAAAATCTACCTACATGAACACCGGAAAGCAAACCGTGTTGACATGGCGTTCACGTGGTTTAAGTGAAATTAAAAATAACATTGTTTTGGCTAAAAAATCATCTAATAAAACCTTGACAAAAGGTAAATGTGTCACATAAGTACAATTTTCAGATTTTTTATGTCACAAGAAAAAGTTTAGGGTAATGCGTCACAGAAGACATAGTTTGGAGGTTTTTTGCGACTTTTTCCCAAAATATAATGCAGAATGAGGCGGCGTTTAAACATATACAAATAAAGCGAAAATGTGAATTAGAGAATTTTCTATATAATTCGATATATCATTAAAGATTACATCAACATAAATGGGCTTTAAAAAATGACTTTCTAAGATAATATATATCAATCAAGATATGCACAATCAAATGGATATATTTTGCACAAAGTTACAGAAAACTAACAAAAATATGCTAATTATTTCTAGTATAGGAAAATATCCTGTAGAATTATCCTAATTATCTCTAACATCCCCTCAAACTCAAGATAATTAAGTTAGCTTGAGTTTGGTAAAAAAAGATATAAAGCGGAAAAGTGAATTATAGAATTTTCTGTATAATTCAATATATCATAATGAAGATTGCATCATAGGTTTTATGAGATGACTATTTAATGTAATATATATCAATTAAAATTTGCACGATTAAGGGATCGCACAATCTCAGGAAATACAAAAAACCGATAGAAATATCCTAATTATCTCTAGTATAGGAATATCCTTAAGAATCATCCTAGTTATCTTTACCATGTAGTGCAAAAAAAAAAAAAAAAAGCACCAACATAAACACTGTCTGGTATATAAAGGTTTCTTTGGCTTTTCTGCAATTACTATATAGAGCAATTGCTATATAGAGTAGAAGTTGGCCTATCAGATGGCTAATCACTTCTAAGTATACCAATAAATGCACTCTGTCCAAGGAAAAAATATCTTTGGTATGATGTGTTCCAATTCTTTGCCATATGTTGATTCAGACTGGGCCACAAAAATTGGCATCGAAGTGTCTGCCCACTTGTTGTTTATGCTAAACTCAAGATAGACAAAAGCACCGTCTACTTTGCCGTTTTTGGATTTGACTATTAAGTAGGAGATAAGAGTCATCAGACACTTTTACTTCTCTCGGGGTGAACAGATTTTTTGAAGCTGGGCCTGCCCATGTGTCTGTTTCGCTCTCACTCCTTAACGATGAAGATCCTATCACAGCACATCCGGTTGGTCATGAGCAACCAAATTGCATTAATGCACCAGAATCTTTGGATGGTCCATATCCGAAGAGTTCTTCTGTCCTCATGGTGTTGATTATTAGCATTCTTTTCCTTGTTAACTGCAAAAACCCAACCAAAGGCCCTTGCAAATTTGCCTTATTAGCATCTGGACCATCAAGATTTATGCCTCTCTCTCTCCGGAAGAGATCGATTTTTCCTAATATTTGAATGCAGGGCAACATTACATCATCGAAAAAGTTCATACAGGGGGATTGGGGGAATTCGGGACTTCGTAATACTGCATCCCGACGAGCCCCTTTCTTTCGTCTATTCCCGCAACTGTCACACATACAAGTTCATGTTATTACTAGTTACTAGCTTACTATCTGAGATTGTGTTTGGGACAGAACCTCGCACCGCATCCGACGTGGCCAGATTGAATTTCTGCAAGAATTTTCTTGTGGACCCTGATTGATTGAACAACATATTCCGTGGAATGAAAGACTAATCTAAGAAAGCAATCCACTACTATAGCAAATCAAGATCCCATGGGCATAAGAATGTTAAAAGAGTACCAACTTTCGGAGGTTGGCGGTGAGATATTATGCGACCCCTAGAGCTGCAAGTTGGCTAGCGTTGTCCCATCCTAGAGACCTATTTTGGCAAAAGAAATCTTACAACTAGGCGCTCAGTCCATCGACCGATCCAAGAATCAACAAGAAACGATCCTTATTTGATTTGGGAAGATAATTTAGAATTCAAAATTGCCGGGAAGTGGAAGGTTCCAAGAAGAGAAGTTGCAGGCAGCATCTTTCTGTGCTGGAGATATAGATGCTGTAGTACGTATCATGTCCACTTGCAAAATCAACGAGAACCAAAGCAAATAATGGAGGTTGAAATTTTGCCAGGACAAATTCTTAACTGGCCTCCCAGTTCCCGTATTTTCGTACCTCACAAGAGCTGAAGTTCGCAAATTTTGCAACATATTCAGGTTCTATGTCCATTACTCTTTCCCTCGACTTACGATTACTTATCGAGATTAACCCTTTTTGGGCAAATTCATGTTGTTCTGGGACAGTTACATCGTATCCTGTTAGTTAAACTGTATCTGGTATACGTGGCCCCCCATGTCAAGTTGCGAACCGTCCCGGTCATTGGATTCTGGCCACAGGCTAGTGGGGCAGGAAATGATCATTAGTTGAAAAGAACTCGTGAAGAAATTTTCGGAGGAATCTGTACGGGAAAAGAAAAAAAGCGTTGCTTTAAATACACCCTCCTCGTCCACTATTCGAATCCTTATCATTGAGCCTGTCTTCCACAACAATGTAATATCTCCCTCACCTTCCTCTCTCTTAGGAGTGCTCCTTTTCGTCCCGGTGGTCCTTCCTCGCAAGTGGAAGGAAGTCGTCATCCGGGCTCTCGACCGATAAATGGCTCTAGTTTTGCTTCGCATGTCGGTCTAATTTCCGAGGTCCTAGTGTTGACAGCATTCATTTAGACAATTGAATGCACCTAAATGAAGCCTTTGTTTAACATGTTAAGGATCAGGGAGTTGGAAATCTACCGACTTTGCAGGGGGGGGGCGCAAATTAGTCCACACAGGCTCGGCCGACTTTGCCCCACAGCAGCCGGAAAAGCGTCGCCTATCACATTCTCAATGGAATCTTTGAAGGAACAACACAAAAGAAAGGAAAAAAGGGTGCTCGGTGGATCTAGTTGAAGAGAGATTTTGTGTTTTTCTTTTACGTCACGAAAATTCTACGGTGAATATGCAGAGCTAAATGCTGCTCTTGTATCAACAGGAGCCTCATGTGGGTTTTGATAAGCATTTGTTTTTAGCTTTCATGGTTGGACTTTGGTGCTCTCTCTGACATGTGACTCTAGATTTGAATGGGTTGAAGCCATATGTAATGGACACTCAAACTCGATAATTACTTCTGTGGCTTGTAATGAATATTGATGAAAGAGATAGAGCCACAAGAAAATATGAAGCAGACTGCGAGGATTATGTAACTCACCTAATTAAGAGGAAGAAATTCCTAAAACTTTCAAAAGATCACCAGCAGCTTTTGCTTACAATTTTCAACGCCATCGTTCCGATCCGATGCGCTCAAACAGTAGTCTCATCTAAATTACAGATTTAGAAGGTAAGTTTCGATAGATACCAAGAGTCTGTCGTCCGGGCACGATAATATATCATCTCGGTACATCACTCTGATTTTTTTTGTT